AAATCACTACCTGGGGAAACAACCTTTCTTAGAGAGATGACCTTTGTTAAAACACATAGCGCCAAGAAGGTGAGCAAATATTAAGAACAGTATGCCATATACGCCAGGTCCCTTGAAACATATGCTGTGCAGATGTTTCTTCCCTGCAGCGACTGTGTCAAGCAGCAAGGATGGACCAGCTTCTGGCAACTGATATTTCAATCGCTCTCTCTCCTGCTCCCTTCCTTTCTGAAATCACTAAAAAATATTTTTTAAATGGTTAAACAAAACACTTTTTTTTTGTGAAGCATATGTGAGAGACATTCTGTAGCTTGCAACTTCTAAAATAATTACTGTGTAAACATTATAGAATAGGGTTACCTGACCCTCATTACAGAGCAAAAAAGTATACACCTGATTTTAAAAAATACATATATTTTATTGATTTTTTACAGAGAGAAGGGAAAGGGATAGAGAGTTAGAAACATCAATGAGAGAGAAACATCAATCAGCTGCCTCCTGCACACCCCCTACTGAGGATGTTCCCCCAACCAAGGTACATGCCCTTAGCCGGAATCGAACCTGGGACCTTTCAGTCCGCAGGCCGACGTCTATCCACTGAGACAAACCCGTTACTGCATACACCTGCTTTTTACGAAGATGCCGAAAGCTAAGAAGGAAGCCCCTGCCCCTCCCAAAGCCGAAGCCAAAGCAAAGGCTTTGAAGGCAAAGTAAACAGTGTTGAAAGGCGTCCACAGCCACGCAAAAAAGAAGATCCGCACATCACCCACCTTCCGACGGCCAAAGACACTAAGGCTCCGGAGGCAGCCTAAATATCCTCAGAAGAGCGTGCCCCGAAGAAACAAGCTTACACACTATGCCATCATCAAATTCCCCCAACTACTAAGTCAGCCATGAAGAAGATAGAACAATACACTAGTGTTCATTGTGGATGTCCAGGCCAACAAGCACCGGATCACACAGGCTGTGAAGAAGCTCTATGACATTGATGTGGCCAGGGTCAAGACCCTGATCAGGCCTGATGGCGAGAAGGCATATGTTCGACTGGCTCCTGACTATGGTGCCAACAAAATTGGAACCGTCTAAACTGAGTCCAGCTGCCTAATTCTAAACATAAAAATTTCACACTGTAAAAAAAAAAAGTATACACCTATGTACTGAGCAAAACAACCCTGACATTAAAAAATGCATAATATAAGATGACTGATACAGTTAAAAATAGGTAAACTTAATAAACTATAAGGATTGGGGGTGATTAATAACATGACAAAACTATAAAGGCCTTAAAGTGCTCGGTGTGGAGAGCAATAGTAATTACCTCGGGGTGAGAGGATGTCATATAATTGGGGGGCACACAGAACACCACGGGATGCTGGAGTGTTGTTTCTTACAACTGTGAGCAGCACATATGAACATGCATGTCAATACGGCTTCATACTAAGTTATGAGTGAGGCTGGGTTCGTCTCTCCGCTGCTGTCAGCCAACTCCTGGATAAGGAGCTAAGAAACAGGGCTTCTGCCCTAACCGGTTCGGCTCAGTGGATAGAGCCTCCGCCTGCGGACTGAAGGGTCCCAGGTTCGATTCCAGTCAAGGGCATGTACCTGGGTTGCGGGCACATCCCCATAGGGGTGTGCAGCAGGCAGCTGATCGATTCTTCTCTCACATCCATGTTTCTAACTCTCTATCCCTCCCCTTCCTCTCTGTAAAAAGCCAATAAAATATATTAAAAAAAAAAAAGAATGCTCACAGCGGCGTCCTTCATAGGGGACCCCAGTCTCCCCGATCACCGGTTCCGCCCTCGCCCAGACCTGACACCTCAGCGTTGGCCCGCTGTCCAGAAGGTGGCAGTTTCCATTATGAGTGAGGACACACGCCCTGTTTTGGGTTCAATCGTGGGCGTACGGGAGGCAAGCCATCAGTGGGTCTCTCTCAGAGCAATGTCTCTCTCTCTCTCAAAATAAATGAATGAATGAATGAATGAATGAATGACAAAATCTACACTAATTAAAGGGTAACATACTAATTAGATCAGGTATCTTTCCACGGTGGCGGGGCCAAGGCAGAGGCAGTTAGAGGCAATCAGGCCGGCTGCGAACAACACGTTCATCAGCAGCAGGAAACCGCCTCAGCCTCCAGCCCCGAGGAACCTCCACCGCCACCAGCCGGGGTCCTGGGCGACCACAGCTCCGCCTCCCCCGACGCTTCGGAAAGACACGCACTCCCTCTCCCCCACATTTAACCCCAAAACCGGACCCGACGCCCCCACACGGCGACCCACACCGAGGAGCCCCGCGGAAAACCCCGGACCGAAACCTGTCGCCGCGATCAGCCAAACGCCAGCCGCGTCCCTCACAGAGGGACCCGCAAAGGCCACAGCGGGCGGGACAAGGCCGTCCATCTCTCTCGACCCCGAACCGCCGGGGGACCCCAAAGGGACCCCAACCGCAGGCGGGAGCGTCACACCTGCTTCCTCCCAAACACCGTGGTGCCGCCCCCGCCCCCCCTCCAACGCGACCCGACCGCCGCCGGGAATCCCGCGGGTCCCGCTGCACCCCTCCCACCCTCTGGCGAACCTCACAGGAGGAAAAACATTTTCTATAAACTTGAAAGGACAGGCGCTCACTGACCTGCTTTCTGCAAACCACCAGGAGGGCCCAAGCGTTACACTTCCGCGTACGGATTCGGCTGCTGCAGGCGGCGCTCAGATATTGCGTCATCCGGCGGCGGCGGGCGGGGACCTGCGGCCTTGACAGAACCGCGAGCCACTTCGGCGTTCTCCTCCCGGCAATATGGCGGCGCCCTGTGAACGCCCCGCCGCCGCATGGGGGCCGCCATGTTGGGAGGCCTGACTGCCGTACAGAAGGCAAAGCCGGGACTACGGAGCCAGGAGCCAGGAGTCAGGATGGCGGGCAGGTGAGCCCCTCACGAATTTAATCTCGTTTCCTGGCACTTCGACGGTTGTAGAAAGTGAGTGTTTTTTCAGAGACTCAAGCTTGGGGAGGGAAATAAGAAGCGAGTT